CAGTGAGTGAGCCGGGAACCAATAAACTAGAAGAAGAAGAAGTATTTCTCGAAACTAGAACTTAATTGGACCAAGTTCTTGGATCGTGGACACAGGGCTTTACTTTAAAAAGAGACAAACATGAATTAAGCTAAGATTAAAGTTAAACGACGTTCGGTGAAATCGGGCCTAAATCATCTGCTGTTATCCGAGATTAAAGTTAGTCCGCATTGATAAAAACGGGCATACGGGAGATAGGGACTGCGGGTTCGAATCTACATACTACATATCTATGGGGTGAGCAACTGATTGCTGCTGCTCGCGAGCGAGGGCGCGCGCGGTATTCTCCGATTCCGCCTTCCGCCCCGCGCGTCATCAGGGACGAAATATAAGTTTGTAACGGGCCACTCCTCTACGGCCGCGGAGTCATCTGCGCGATGCGCGTAACCGACGCTCTGTTCTGAGTATCCTCGCCCGTGGACGCGCGGTGATGCTGATCGCGCGCGACTCTCGCTGACACGGCGGACTCGACTCTACCAGGAAATCGACGACCCCGAGGTGAGGCGCGCGCGCCGATGACACGCGACTCTAGGAATGCGGCGTTTGGGCGTTGACCGCTCCGCGCGCGCGCTGCCTAACCCCTAGCTGCTACTCCGACGCGATTACTCTCGCCGCACAATTTTTCCACGTATCGACGGCTACGGCGGCCGGAGGGCGAAGGTGTCGTCTCGTTGATCCGCGCGGAGAATCGACCGCGCCCAACGAGCCGCGCGTGCCGCTGGTAAATCGGCCAATCAAAGGCGCTGGCGAGTGGCGGGTGTATGTGTCAAAAGTTGTATTTGTTTACGACGTAATGGATTTTTAATGTGGTCGGGGAAAACAGTTGACCGCAATTGACGCTACATTGCCGCTCTCGCGTTGCCCGCAAGTCGATCCGTCGCTCCGGTTTTTCGCGCACCCGAGAAATCGCGTTTCGCAAGCGCTCACGCGGTGGATAAATGAACGATGAATCACGTTTTCAGAAAAAATGTTGGCCCGGATCCTCCTGTTATTCCTGGCTTCTGGAAACTGCCAGTTCACCCAGTACCCCCAGGAGTACCCCCAGGAGTTCCCCCAGTACCCCCAGGAGTACCCCCAGTTTCCCCAGTTTCCCCAGGAGTCGACGGAATCTACCCCCAGGCTTCCGTGGAATCGCTATGACGACCGGGATCAGAGTACGGGATTTCGGAATCCGAGTCAAAATGAGAATCTCATAATTAAAGAATCGTGAGTGTCGCTAAGTCTGACGATGAAAATGGATCCTTGCACGAGGAAGGGATGATTCAACGTGACGAATATCTTTAATTTTTACGTATACTTTTGTTTGCAGCACATACTTCATAGTTGCTTCTCGCATGGTTCGACCAGGCCACGTGTACAGAGTTGCTGTAAGCATTCTTCTTAGTCCCGTGCCTATTACGGTACGTACATCCATTCAGAGAAATGGCGTGGAGATAGGGGCGGACTATCAAGACATGAAAGAGGGCATACCTGAGACGCTGATGATTCGCATGCCACCCACCTCCGTGGGTGGTGACTACAGGCTGCGCGTGGAAGGGACCTACGGCAGTTTGAAAGGCGGCCAGGCCTTTCTTAACGAGACCAAATTGATATTCTCGCAACGTTCCATGACTATTTTTGTACAGTTGGACAAGCCCATGTACATGCAGGGTGAGACAGTGCGATTCAGAACGATCCCGATAAATACGGAGCTGAAGGCTTACGACAATCCCGTGGACGTGTACATGTTGGATCCGAATCGAAAAATCATGAGGCGATGGCTCAGCAGACAGAGCAATCTGGGCACAGTGTCGCTGTCGTACCAGCTTTCCGACCAGCCGGTTTACGGAGAGTGGATCTTGCAGGTGATAGCGCAGAATCAAGTGGAGGAGAAGACGTTCCTCGTGGAGGAATACTATCAAACGCGCTTTGAAGTCAATGTTACGATGCCGGCCTTCTTCTTCGACAACGATCCGTACATTTATGGTATCGTGCAGGCAAATTACACCTCGGGCGCGCCGGTGAGGGGTAATCTGACCCTGAAGGCCAGTTTCAAGCCGCTGGATAGAATACGCAATCCCTCGGTCCCCATCGATCCGGTCGAGAGATACTTCAACTTCAACGAATATTATCCGTCGTGGTTCAGAATATTAAATCCGTACGAGGACAGACTACCAGTACTGAGGTTCTACAACGGAACGTACCACTTCCGGTATCCCATGCAGGAGTTGCTGAGCTTCGTTCCGTCGACCGACGGATTGGAAGTCACTGTGGTCGCGACGGTGGGCGAGAGATTCTTGGACGAGGTGGTAGTCGGCTACTCCACGGCGAGGATCTTTAATTCCACCACGAAGGTCCGTTTCCTCGGCGGCAGTCCACAGGTCTTCAAGCCGGCGATGCCGTTCACGTTAAATGTGGTCGCGTCCTTCCACGACGACTCGCCGCTGCGGTCCACGCAGCTGAGGGATGTCATGATGGAGATCCGCGCGGATGTCGAGATGCGAACTGGCGGACGTCGTACCATCGACACCATATACCCGAGGGCGACGCCGGAACACGCGGACGTCTGGACCGTGAAGATGGATCTCAGGAGACTGCTCGGGCTGGAGCACGACGCCAATCGCGCCAATCAGATACTGAACGACGTTGTCTCCATGAAGGTCTACGCGCACATCACCGACGGCGAGGGCTACCGGGCGCAGACCGAGCTGCTGTTGCTCGCCCACGAGTCCCCGAACATGAAGCACATCAAGATATCGACGTCCACTGAGAAGCCTAAGGTCGGCCAGTACATGGTGTTCCATGTGCAGACCAACTTCTACATCGACTCCTTCCACTATATCATCATGGCCAAGGGTATAATACTTCTGAACGGCGAGGACACCATGCAGCACAATATAAGAACCTTCGCGATTCCTCTTAGCCCTGAGATGGCGCCCGTCGCGACGGCGGTAGTGTATTACGTGGGGCGCTACGGCGAGGTCATTGCAGATTCCCTGACCTTCCCGGTGAACGGGATTTCGCGCAACAATTTCACCGTATTCATCAACAATAAGAAGGCAAGGACAGGCGAGCGCGTTGAAGTGGCCATCTACGGCGAGCCCGGGTCCTACGTCGCCCTGTCGGGTATCGATCGGTCGTTCTACACCATGCAGGCGGGCAATGAGCTGTCGTATGCGAACGTGATCACGAAGATGTCGCACTTCGACGAGGAGACCAACGGCACTAACACGCACACCTGGCAGTACCACGACGGCGATCCGGACGAGTTGGTGTACTTCCCGTCCTCCACCTTCGGCATCGACGTCAATCGCACGTTCGACTACATCGGCCTGGTCGTCTTCACGGACGCCGTATTACACCGGCGGCCCGAGCTCTGCAACCGGACGCAAGGATACGGCGAGTGCCTGACCGGTCGATGCTACAGACTGGATAAGAAATGCGACGGCATATTCGACTGCGACGACGGCACGGACGAGGCGCGATGCGTCGTGCGGAACGCGACTGACCTGGCACAGTTCCGCAAGTGGCGGTTTAACCGGATCCAACGGCACTACGAGAACGTCTGGCTGTGGAAGGATATCAATATCGGCCCGCATGGCCGACAGATCTTCGATCTGGACGTGCCGCGAAGGCCGGTACACTGGATGGTCACCGCGTTCAGCATGTCGCCCACCATCGGGTTCGGTATGCTGCCGAAGGCGCTCGAGTACATCGGAGTCCTGCCGTTCTACATAAACGTGGAGATGCCGACGCACAGCAGACAGGGCGAGCAAATCGGCATTCGCGTGTCCGTTTTCAATTACATGCGTTACAACATCGAGGCGACAGTGATCCTGGCGGGCTCCAACGACTACAAGTTCGTCCACGTTGAGGACAGCGGCATCGTGCAATCGTACATGCCGCGCACCTCTTTCGGCGAGCATCAGTTCTTCATCTGGATCCCCGCGCAGGACGCCAGTATCGTTTATCTGCCCATCGTACCGGTGAGGCTCGGCGACATCAAAGTCCACGTCTACGCGACCACTTTGATCGGCAGGGACTCGGTGACTCGCAATCTGCACGTCGAGGCGGACGGGGTGCCGCAGTATCGGCATCAGTCGTTCCTGCTCGACCTCAGCAATCGCGCCTACGTGTTCCAATACATGCACGTGAACATCACCGAGACGCCGATCATCCCGTACGACGAGAACCGTTACTACGTATTCGGGTCCAACAAGGCGATCATCAGCGTGGTCGGCGACGTGGTGGGAGCGATCTTCCCAACGATGCCGGTGAACGCGACGAGCCTTATGAATCTGCCCATGGACTGCGCCGAGCAGAACATGTTCAGTTTCGCCGCCAACATGTACACCATCCTGTACATGCGTTCCGTCATCCAGCGGAATCGCACGCAGGAGAAGGAGAGCTTTTACCATATGAACGTCGCCTACCAGCGACAGCTGTCGTTCCTGAATCCCGACGGGTCCTTCAGCTTTTTCCGCACTGACTGGAACCAGTCGATGCCGAGTGTCTGGCTGACGGCGTTCTGCACGCGGATATTCCAGGAGGCCAGCTTCTACGAGTGGGAGAACTACCTGTATATCGATACCGAGGTGATCACCCAGGCCGTTTCTTGGTTATTGAAGCATCAGACGGAGGACGGCGCGTTCTACGAGGTGACCTGGCTGCCGGACCGGAAGATGAATACCTCCTATATGTACGACACAATCCCCCTTCGGAACATCAGTCTCACCGCTCACGTGCTCATCACGCTGGAGACTGTCAAGGACCTCACGGGTGGCCTAGGTGCCCAAGTGGCTCTAAGCAGGGCTAACGCTATCAAATGGTTGGAGAGGAACCTGAAGCAGCTGGAGAATCACGGTAACCCTTACGAGATAGCGATAGTGGCCTATGCGCTCTTAGTAGCGAAAGCCTCGACTGCTGAGCAAGCCTTCCACATCCTGGCGAGACACGCGCGGAATGAAGGCGGAATGACGTACTGGGGCAGAGAACCAGTGCCGATTGCCCCGTACAAGATGGAGAATCAGAAGCCCTTCCTGCTGCCACGTTTACCCTACAAATACGACTCGGAGAACATAGAGACAACTGCGTACGCGCTGCTCGTTTACGTCGCCCGGCAGGAGATTATGTTAGAGCCGATAGTGGCGTGGCTGAACGGACAGAGATTGACGGACGGCGGATGGGCCTCCACCCAGGATACCGTTTGGGCGATGAAGGCACTAATGGTGTATACCGAGAAGTCGAGACTCAGGGACGTCAGTGCGCTCACCGTACAGGTAGAGGCTACTGCTTTGCCGGGGAAGAAGAAGATGTTGATCGTGAACGATAAGAATCGAGCGAGGCTTCAAACTATCGAGGTACGAAACGTTTTGAGGCAGGTACCACTCTCAGGGACACTTGAAAATAACGCTTTAATCGCACGATTGTCATATTTCAGATCCCGGAAGCGTGGGGAACCGTGAAAGTACAGGCGAATGGCGCGGGCTACGCTATTTTGCAAATGCACGTGCAGTACAATGTGGATATAAAGAGATTCCAAATACAGCCGCCGGTTCAAGCCTTCGATCTAGTCACCAGAGCGAATTTCCATGGCAGAAATCAGTCTCACATTTCGTATTTTTGTTGTCAAAGGTGAGATTGCACGCAATCATAATAATGTGTCTACCATTATCGTTACTAAAAACGTCATTATCTCCCGCATTGCGTTTCCACACAGATGGACGAATCTCAACGAATCTGTGCGTTCTGGCATGGCTGTGCTGGATGTCGGCATACCAACCGGCTACATAATTCAACAGCAAACTCTAGACAGATACATTCTATCGAGGCGGGTGAGGAATCTTCAGAGAGCGCGTTTCCAAGAGAGGAAGGTGCTATTCTACTTCGATTATCTAGACAACGAAGAGACGTGTGTGAACTTCACGGTGGAACGCTGGTATCCGGTCGCAAATATGTCGCGATACCTTTCAATACGCGTTTACGATTACTATGCGCCAGGTATTTATCAATGTATTTCATTAAATTTTATTTGCTCGATATGCATACTAATACTTGTTCGCTGTTTCAGAACGCTTTAACGAATCTATATTCGACGCACTGCCTACGTACACATTAAATATATGCGAGGTTTGCGGCAGCTCCCAGTGCCCCTACTGCCCAATTTACAATGCTGCTAGGCTCTTAACTACGCCAGCAGGTTTCCTGCTTATCGCGTCGCTCGTCGTCACGATAACAAGGTACTTCCGAACGCAGCAATTCGGCGACGGCTAGCGATAACGCAAAAGTCAAAGCATTCGAATCTTATCCATTTCTTATTGCCATGATTCGCCCCCGTTAACGAAGTCCAAATATGGAACGAGACGATAATCAGAACTTAGTACATGTCCATGAATCTCATTTTTAAATATCTCAAGATTTTTATATAATTTTACAAATCTGATATGCGCTTGTGCAATGACCAATGCGGAATGGTGAGTTTTAAATGTCAGTTTCTTTTTCCAGTGAAGATAATCACTTTTAGTCACTTTGACCAATAATTTTGACTATTGTTTTTCTTCTCAATACTCTTTTTTTTTCTACACAATCTCCATAGCATAGATTTCGTAATTGTAAAAATATCATATCTTTTCGTATACTTATTTTCATATATTTTTGCACCTTTAACGATACTTTAGATTATATTTTGTCAAGATTCAATTAAGAACAATTAGTATTTTATCACTTGCTCGAAGACTTATGATCAAAGCCCGATCTCAGTAGAGCTACTCCAAGCACGTGTTAGCAAGTGCTGTGAGAAACAGTACCGTCCATGCCGCGCCGTCTAACGTAGCATAGGAAACACCGTCACATAGGCTACAAAAATATTTATATAATTTTATTTGTGTTTACTTAATAATATTTTTGTATGTTTATACATACATAATATTATATACTAAACTATATTATATATATAATTATTTTATATGTTTATTATAACATTAAATAAACATATATATTTATATATATAATTATATCAATATTTTTGTACCCTACGCGACAGTACTGCTTCTCACGGTGCTCGGTTAGCGCACGCTTGGAGTAGAAATACCTCCACCGAAATCCGGGCTCTGCTTATGATACGGTTATAGAAAGTACAGTATTATTTATACTTCTAAATTACACAAAAACGCACAAATGGATTACGTCGTGAGATTGCACGATCGAAAGTAATTGTATCTGAAAGATATTAAGGTCAACGCATTTTACACAATATCTACATTTTTATTTCCTTGTCTAAGGAATATTCTTATTTATAAATATTATCCGTCCTGGTTTTTTTTAAATTTTAGAATGTCTGAAATTTTTTATTTTTTACATTGTTGGGGCATCGTACTTTTGAAGACAAAGCATCTGAAGTACAAATCAAGTGTAGCTGGCAATTTTCGCGCAATTACACTATTAATGACTACCAAAAGAATTATGGCAAAAGTGTTCATAGTAATTAAAAGAGTATACCGAAAAGAATATATTAGTTGCAGGTTTTTAACAAGTTATAAACGACATAATTATTCATTTTCGAAGTTTATTCCCACTTTCGCATTTAAAGATAATTCCTTAATATTTCTCACTCCGTTTCACGAAGTTATCATTCGCAGATCGTGCCTTCGCCGTAAATATTCCGAACTTTAGAAATAAACTTCTGTTTTATACTGCTTGAATCTTCGAATACATAAAAAGATCAATCAAAGAGATATACAAGATGTTAATGTGATTGGCAAGTGTAAATAGTAGGATAGGAGAAACACATGTATTCCAGCTCGATTCACAAAATCGAGTAAGTGACAATGATACCGTCCTGTTTATATATACATACTTGCGTGTATGAAAAGATTTTTATGCCGTCCCTTGATAATTAGTGCCTCGAGAGTTATACAATAATGTGTATAAATATGTATCTGTTTTCAGACCAACATCAAAGATCTATTTTAATAACATAGCACACTAAATATGTATATTACAATCTATATATATATATTATAATTTAGGTTTTAGTTAGTATAATTACGCGTCATACTGATGCTTTAAGGGTCTACCTTGGACGTTAAACGTCATTCGTCGCAATTCACACGGTAACTTTGTATGCATTCGCAGAATGCATACATTCGCAGAATGCATACAATTGCACGGTAACTTTGTATGCATTCGCAGAAAATATTTATTCCACGCGACGTAATACACGGGCACTATTACAATAAACGAACCCTTAAACACATCCGTGTGTAACATCTCGAGATACCGTCCATGAAGAAGTCTGCTTCGTAATACAAGTAAAAAAAAATGATATATATATGTACACATATAAAGTACTTGAGTAAATTCATTCAAATCGCGAAAAAAATCTTTGCATGAAGTATCGCGCGATAGATGCTTTTTAGATATTATAACGGAATCAGCATTTAACAAACGTTGGTTATACATATTTTTAAGTTTTATAACCTTTATACGAATAAATAATAAAAAAACATATATGTATTATTGCGCGTCTTGAAATGCTTGTTCTCGATTTTTTATTCATTAACCAATTTTACTTAGAAAGAGGTCTGGATGCGGGCTTTTGTGTTAAAACGGTTGACTCGTAGACCGTAGATCCCGGATTCTACCGGATCCAATCTTCGTCCATGTACGTCAGTCTATAAAAGGTTGGTTTATTTAGAATTGAAGATTATGAGTGCGAGCATGATATGATTGTGACTTGTCTTGGGAATAATAAAACAGATTGCTAGATACTTGAAAACGGATCATCGAGTCGGATTGAGGGGTTCTAGGAAAGAGAGAATGCAATCAAGTCTTATCTGCCTGTTTTTGAAGCAATCTTTAATATAGCAACATAGTCAGTCTTACAGTAATAAGCCAAAAATACAATCTATATATCAAGCTTGACGGGGAGCGGGCGAAGGTATCCTTTCCTTCATACGTGAGCATCTTCGGCGTGGCTGGTCGCGACCCAAGAGTCTCACAGGCGGAAAAAGCGCGTCGCTTTCGCCCGGACTCCTCGACAAATTTTACAATTTTACACAATCATAATGTATCACGTTCGCGAAATTGTAGGTCCTGCTCTCCAACGATGCGGTTTCGCACAACTAATAAGACGCACACGACATTCTCAACTTCCTTTCTTTCTCTCTCTCTATCGCGCCGAACGGAATGGTCGTAGTCTTGGGACGAGAGTGAAACTATTCTTCCAACGGCAGAGAAAAATTGTCACTGAAGCTTGGAAACTGATTTCCGCCGTGTATCTCCTTCTTTTGCAGCAACTGCGAATAATCTCCCTTCGTCGTTCGCGACGATGATTTATAATGTGTACGCAATTGGCTTTACAGATTCACTCTAGCGCGAATGAACGAGTGACGGATTATATCACTCGACGATTCTTGCGACGCATGAACTCATAATTTTTAATTCTTAAAACTATCGAACGCATATTTCGGGGCGTGGACAGTTCGCGCGGATTGTCTCACGGTTTAGAAGACTTCAAATTCGCTCGGCTCATAAAATTTACTATAAAAGTGGCTCAGTCAAACGATCTGTATGTGAGGATGCGTCACGAAAAATGTGACACGTTAAAAATACGTGGTTTTATAAAATAGAAATTCAGTTTGTAAGAACATTCCCGCAATGCTCACGTAGTTTTCGTGCTCTTGATTAAAACGCTCTTCCAAAATTACAATTACAATGTTTCGCAGTTACAAGACAGCGGTATGATAAAGAGAGGATAGCAGATAAACATTTCCAAAGTACGGCGGTCAAATGCGCTGGGTAATCAATACAAATCAACGTGATGACCTCGCGGCCTTATTCTCGGTTCTTCGTCAAAGGCAGCTAATCGCGAAAAGTATATCCGAAACATCTCGTCTCTCTTTCGTCGAGGGAGAAATAACCGAGAACAAACTATTGCTACTAGCTATACAGAAAATGTTGAATGCAACACATTCACGAGGTCGTCCTTCAACCGAGAGAACGCAAAACATCTCTGGAAATACAATTTCTTAGGGCAGTTGTGCGTAAAAGATTTGGCTGTTCGATTAATAAATCACTAATTATCCCGAAACATTCGGCATTCCCTCGCGCTAATCTACACTTTAAATTCAAAGCTCTCGCATCTCTGATCCCACGTGTAACACCTCGCACAGTTCCCGGACTCTTTAGCCTGACGTTCGGACCTAAGTAAAAAAAGTAATCAGGGCAGGAGGAAACGATCGATACAAATATATAGATATATTATAATATAATAGAGTTATTTGATGAAACATTTAAAGCCTTACAATAAAATATACAGTATGATGTGTGGTGTCGTCGTATTTTTATGTGTGAGCGTGTACTCGTGTACTCTCGTGTTCGTCCCGTGTGGGATTATCGTGTGTTATCGTTACGTGTTTAAAAGATGTCTCAAAATATGCAGCCACATTTACCATGTTTTTCGCAGTGTGTTTTTTCCACGCTTTTTTTGTCTTTTTCTTTTTCAGACTGATACGTTTTTTTATTCTCGACGAGTAAGGATTAGTATTGTGTACCTTTGGACCGAGAGATTCGATACGGCAGTTAATTCTTGGCGCTTATACGCGCGCTCCTCCCGAGACGTGCTCTCGAAATCGGCGTACGGGATATCGTCGACGCATACCTTCCCCCTCGTCCGCGTGACTCTCTTTCGTCTCGCATAGTGATTTGTATAATATAGATATCGGTATACAGAGCTAGTATCAAATCCTAACGAAATCGGCTACATCAAAATTGTTCCAACGTTCCGGAGAGATATGCACACTTCATTCTGCATCAGCCAGCTCCTCCGAGCCGCGTTCCGTCGAGGACACGCCCTCGAGATCTTTTTCTTTCTTTTTCCTCCTTCCTTCATTTCCTCGAGACTCACGAGGATCCTTAATCTTCCGTTTATATTACTACGAAACCTTCTCGCTCAACAGTTCACCGTTAGTAACGCGTTCTTCACTGTTTTTACTCACGCAGGACCGGCCGACGAGATATGCACGAATATATCACGGCCGGTCGGAAAATTATAACCCGAAGGTTCGAAAGTCGAGAGAAAATCCGCGACGCGGATTTTAACATAATTTATCGGACTGCAGTCACGCGTTCGGCGTCCAAGCGACACAACTACATTCACGCGAGTATACGACAATAAAAGAAATGAGGCCTTTGCGTACTTTAGACTGTCGTTCATTCTCATAGAAAAAAAAGCGATATATTCTACGATGCTAATTCATTAAATTACTCTTCATGTACATATGTTGATGCAACGTCATTAAAATGTTTATAAAATTTCATTTAAACGATAAAAAGTTACTCGGAGTCTTTAAAATACATTATCGATTTGTATATCTGAATAAAAACGACGAGACATGCGTATTGTACGAGCACGTACGCTCAATGTTCCTCTCATTGAAACTGTGATTCGAAAGTCTCTCTCTTTCACGTAGAAATAATAATACGCCAACATTCGCTAAGATAATTCTCAAAGCACTCCTGTGCCGAGCAATGTCTCTATTAGGCTTTTACAATTTCAAGCCATAATTAGTCAGTCTAATTACATTTTCGCTTAATTAATTCACGTTATACATCAGTTAGTTCTTATAATCAGATTAGATATTAAATCTGAACATTATCCAAACTTTTTAGCGCATGATAAACATCAACGAATGCATTTAGCCTTAAATAGTTTTGCATTACGTCGGATTTCCAAAACTCAGTCGAAATACCTTGAAAGCATCTCGTTGATATATCGTTGCAGAGATCAGTACATATCAGAAATTTGAAGAAAGAGACACAATCCGGATAATAGAAAAATACCGATTGCAATAAGTTTTCAGGCAGTTACATTTAGACACTTTTAATATTTTTTTTCACTTTTCAACTTTTACATAGGAAAATCTTGAAGTGTACAATTAATTTTACATAAAAACTACCAAGTATGAAAGAGTATGAAAAAAGAGTGTCTAAATTCCAGCGAAATGCCCCATAATATGTAATGCTAAATATTACTCTTGACTTTCATGACTATATATCGTTAAAATTTAAAAGGATATTTCATCGTGACAAAAGCATCACGATGAATAATAAGGTGGCGTAAAAACATCTTTAATACATAAAATTTACATACGAAAGTAATGCAGCCCCGCGTTTAGCTTTTCTCCACGGAAACTCTAGCGCAATATGTTATTTTATCCCATTAAATTACAAATAGAGGTAATATTATATTAATGTAAGAGATTGTTAGTATATATCGTAATAGCAGCGATAGTATTCGATACAAGTAGATAGAGCCAAGTAAATAGCTGTTGGACAACACACAATTATTAAACTGCTTATTAAACCGCGTCTCTATTACGTCGTCTTCACGACTGTATCATAAGTACGGAAAGGCTGTTAACCATTTCCTAAAATTATGACAATAACGATAATAATTAAAAAAAAAGACTCAAGCTGCTTAATGACTATCCGGCATCCAACAGTTGTTTACTTAACTCCTCGCAAAATTAACCATTTGGTCGGTGTGAAAAAATAAACATAACGTTCTTATATTCTGTAAACTACTGTGGACCGCATCAAGATTGTTATTTCTATTTGGTTGATTCTCTCGTCCTTATGCAATATGCTGGTTGATTCTCCTTCTCTCGTAATTCGCGTGAGCTCTTAATCTCGGCGCAAATGTGAGTAGAATAGGTACATGCAGATGACATACGGCAAAGGGAGGGACATTAGTAAAAGGAAAGCGGTGTATAGCTTACAGTGCAAGCGATCAGTTACTCGCTGAAACTTTAAATTCCATGTTCCACAGGCGACAGCTCGAACAAGATTACATTTCCCCCGTTACATTATTAGGACATATGATATGAATTACAGTTCATTGTGGATCATCTGCATGTAAATTCTACGCGATACCATTCGTGGATTACTCAAGTCAAATTTATCGTACTCTCGGATAACAGCGATGGATCTCTCAGCAATAGTACTTTCCTGGGAATTCTTGATGTTTATCGGTATCATTTCTTTGCTCATATAGGATTAGTTACTATCGCTAATTCAGCTAGATTCCTTCTCTTTCGAATCTGAAACAGGAAGTAGAGGTGCGAGTCTTCAGACATTCGGCTCGCGAGATACCGTGCGAAATAACGTAACATTACTGCGATTGCGCTTATAAATTTGCCACAGTCCATTTTCTTACCGCTATCAGATTTGTCTTCTGAGGTACCGTTTGTCAACTCGGGCTCCTTCTTCTTCTCCCCCTCTTCCGACTCTACGCTAGACGCCTTTTTCTCCTCTTGATTCGCAGCCTTCTTGTCTTTCGCTTTGCCTTTAGCCGGCGTAGCTGGTTTCGGCTTCGGCTCCAGACTCGGATCCAGCACGATCTTACCGATGTTCTTGCGATCGTGCATTTTTTGCATAGCCTCGGGCACATCTTCGAGCGCCCATGTTGAGTCCACCACTGGCTTGATCTTGCCCTCGCCCCACAGCGTGTATACTTGATTCACCGCCCGTCGAACGAACGCGTGACTACCGTGCTGGTGCATCAAGTGGCGTAGATTCAACCCGGACAACGTCTTGTTCTCGTCGAACAGCTTTATGGGCGACACTTTATCGACTTGCCACCACTAAACAATAAATAATAAAACGTGCGTGAAAATAACGGAGATACGATCCTAGGGAAAGAGTCGCCCGAAACAAACTCGGGGGAATAAAATAATTCGAGGGGAGATACAAAAGTTTACGAAATCTTACAGTGAAGCATTGAAAACAGTTACACGAATACTTTACCGAAGTACCTTTGTTCGAATTGAGATACGAATAAAAAGTCAAATTAATCCACGACAAACGAATGGCGCTCATCACTTACTGATCGCGCCGCGGAAAAGAAGCTCTTAGTTTCCCCGGTGACGACGTTGCTGGATCCATAGAGGATGTACTTGCCCATCGGCTTCAAGAGGGCGTAGCCCTTGTTACATTCCTCGCCGCATAGACAATCCAGGACGATGTCCACGCCTTCCGGGGAGATTCTAAACAAGCAGAGACGAGTATAAAAAATGTACGGAATTTTCCTCCGGGCTTCTCGATATCGACTGTCTACCCACGACGGCAAGAGGGGCAGAAAAGAATTAAGAACTGCTAATTATTCACGCCACATCGTTCACGTACTTTCTGACCTCGTTGCTGTAGTCCGCGCCGCGTTCCAGAAGATGATCGATGGTCCCCGCGTTTTTGAGGGCCTCGTGCTTGGATTTGCTGCACACGCCGAAGATGGTCACGTCCTTCACGGTTTTCGCGAGCTGCACCACCGCCTGGCCCTAAATCGAACGGAAAATAACATCTCTCAGCGACACGGTCGACAAGTGAGTTTAACGAAGGTCGAGAAGACCAGTCGAAGCTACGTGGAGAAAGGGCACGGACGTTCTTACTTTTTTTTTCTTCTCTCGACGCGCCCTCCGCTAAAAAAATACGCGAGAACATACACCCCGTCGCCACCTCCTCCCCCCCCCCCTTCCTAATCCTCCCTTTTCGCAGCGCACGCTACTCTTCGCCCGAGAAAATCCAGTTACGCGCCGAATTGGACGGGCGCGGCGTCGGGCCCGCTACTCGTAACGCCGCGCCTTGAGAAAGGATGAGACGGGATTAACGGAGGAGGAGAGGAAAAAAAAAAGGAACGGCCGCGTGCACAGCCGCTCGAGATTTTCAACAGAAGCGGCATACATTATTTCCGAGAATCGCGCTCGCTGCTTTCCACTTCTCTCCGCCCCTCGTCGAGAATTCGATACCCGGCGACCGAGCCGATGCCGGAGCACTCCGGCCTCGAGGAAGAGCATAAATGAGAAAAAAAAAAGGAGACGAGCAGAAAGGGAGAGCGAGCCAGCGCGCGCGCGCGCAAGAGAGAGAGAGAAAGAGAGAAACGAACGACAGAACAGACCATTTAGAATCCTTAAATAATCATGAAAGGCGCTCTCTAAAAATCAATCGGTGAAAATTATCACTGAAAACCAAGCTGAAAACAGTGAATAGTCACCGATTGACTTTTCGGGAGTATATTTCGGCTCTTCAATAATTATACCCCGCCCTCCCGAGGATCTCCGTTGTCTCGAGTCGCCACCTATCGTGTTTGTCGGCTCTGAAAATTGTTACGCGATATAAAATACGTATACACGGAATTACACGCGCGCGAGATGCTTCATGGCAACGTTATGTCTTCATCGCGACGCCTCGCGAGTCTTGTCTCCCGTAGAGACAATGACTTAATTAATATTAACCGATCCGCGGACTCGAGGAACAATGTCGCCCATCGTTCCTCGTTCCTGCCTCTCCCCCCTGTCACCCTCGTTCGTCGAGGCGTCGCGGAGGACGAGAGGCCGCGTACGTGTGCACGCACGCGGCAAAAAAAAATGAACTTGCCACTGCAGCGACAATTTTCTAGATACGAAAAGAATAACCGAGGTGTATAAATAAATAGCCAATGCGAAATCGCATATGCTTCGTATTTAATCGATTTAAGTAACGGAAAGATCAATTTGAGAAAATAACAAACAGAATTTTTATCCGAAACTGTTGTCGAATGTCAGGAAGAGAGTCTTGCTGCGACACTCGTTCATTATAACGTTTGATCGTGGTACACGAATCGGCATAAATGCTGTCCCTATCCTTGTGAGGTGCACGCACACAACTACAGGGACTCTAGTTGTGTGTGTGCACCTCACAAGGATAGGGACAGCATTTATGCCGGTGCGTGTACACAGATAGTTACATTCCTTACAAAGATTGTTCTAGCTACAGTACCGAAATTCATTTTTATCCAATGTGAGTAATGTTTGGTCACAAAACCTAAACTTTCCAGAAGGTATTATTAGAATATGTTGCTGCTATAAATTTTGCAGGCTACAAACAATTTTCCAACAGATACAAGAAATAGCGATAAATTTTTATTGCGACGCCTAGAAATCTACCCGCGTTAGATTTTTTTTTTTTGAGTGTAAGGGGCGATAATTCATGCTCAACGGCGACAATGAGAGCCTCCCGCCTGCTCCCCGAGAAAAACGCGATCGCGCGAGAAACGGGCACTCCGGCGCCGCGATTTCGCGCGTATCAGCCACGAGAGAAACTGGTCACGTACGAGGCTCCGGGAGAGGCCGCGCGCTCGTGTTCGTGAAAAATACACGTTTTTCTGATCACGTCGGAGGACTTTCCCTCTCTCGCGAGGCTCTCGGACGGATCGCGTCGTATCTCTTCCGCTCGCTCGTCTTTCCTCTGTGAACAGCGTCTGAGTGCCGGCCTCCCCCACCGGTACTCGGAGGGGCTTTCGTGTGGCCCTCGGTCGCGTCCAGCGCGCCGCGCGAATGCACGGGGGGATTGTGTGCACACGGCGCCATTAATGCCTAGCCCTCTGAAACTGCGCGCGGATCGAGGCATTTTTGAAAGGCGTGCGACTTTTTAACTCTTCGTGCATCGTGACATTGAAACCGGCGATGCTGATTCGCTGTTTCCATAGGCACGATGCACGTAGAGTAAGAAAGTCGCGCGCTTTTCAAGAATGCCTCGTTCCGCGTACAACTTGAGAGGGCTAGGCATTAATGACGCCGTGTGTACACATAGGGCAGCGAGAACCGATCGAGTTTGCTGTGCGACCGCGTTTCATGAGAACGGCCGATGATCGCCACCCGATGGCTATTTATAGCACAAGCGAACGGCCGGATCGATTTCAAGAACGACCCTTAATCGTCGTTTAATTGATTCCCTTCTTCAACCGCTGGGGCTGAAGAGGCGAGGAGAGGCTCGTCAACCAGCCGTTCCGTTCCACGTACGAGAGTCATTTTAAAGATTCTCGGAATGATTAAGTGCACATGGCACATGGCTCGTAATAACATCCCAAAATCGTAAGGTACGAGCCTCCTCGGCATTGTCTACGCGTCGTAAAAAGAGATAGATGCCGCGAGAAAGTCGTTAAACGATAATTCTTTACCGCCGGTGCACACCCTAGCCGATCTGAAACACGAGTTGCGCGTCGCAACGCGAGAAATATAAATCTTCTTCCAAGTACATTTTTCTCGCGCATTTAATTTCAAGAACGTTATGACGGAGCGTTCGCGGCAGGTGGTATTAGTCGCTGCATAAATCGACTTTAATTAAGCCCTTCTATAAAACATTAACCGCGGGAGCTGGAGGGGTTGAAGGGTAAACGAGAACGTTGTACCGGGATGGACAGAATAGTTGCGATACTTTTTTTTTTAATGAGTTTAGTAACGCGTAGATTCAAGCTTACATTCAAAGACATCTTTTTCCGGGGAAAATTTTATTGGAGAAATAGATAAAAAAAACGCTCAAAATGGTTTTGGAACGGCCATCGAGTAAAGCGTTCCTCGGAGAAGATTTTGGAACGTAAACCTGAATCTAAACGCGCGCTTCTAGACTCATTAAAAAGAGTTTCGCAAGCATTCTGTCCATCGCTGTGCCGATCAGGGGCTCGATTCTTGAATTCATTCGAAAGAGAACCGTATCTGAAAAGTTGCAAGTTGATTGGCTATTCGCGTGGTTCTAACCAATCGACCTTCAACTTTTCTGCACAAGAGCAGACTCTTCGCGCACGCTTCTCTCTCGGATGTAATTCAAGAGTCGAGTCCCAGGTCGCCGGGCGTACCGGGCGATGGATAGAATTAGTGACGCGTAGATTCCAGTTTAGATTCAAAAACATTTTGTCCGGGGAAAATTTCATTGGAGAAATAGATAAAAGAGAAACGCTCAAAATGGTTTTGGAACGGCCATCGAGTGGAGCGTTCCTCGGGGAAGAAGATTTTGGAGCGCAACCCTGAATCCAAGTGCACGTTCCCCGCTAAAAAGAGAGTGTCGCGACCAATCTGTCCATCGTTGTACACGTGGCATGCCGTGCCGGCGCGGTGTGACAGCGGCTTAAAGCCGCGCCACGTGGTAGTAACGTGCCGGGCGATAGCGACGGTGGCGGCGGTGGCGGCGACGGTGGTGGTATGGTCTCAGACGGGTGCGGTCCATGACGGTGGTCGATGAGAGAGCGAAAGGTTGCCTGGCAACCCTCACACCCCCGTGCGATCCGCGCACCGGCATTCCCCGGTAGATTTCGCCTTCCGTCTCAACCGTCGGGGGGTCGTAGAGGACGGCGGGCGGTTAGCGGGGGCGGCCGTGCCGTTGGCTTCGGGTGTAACCTGTTGAGTCGTATTGATCCCGACGGTTCTACCGTCTTCTTCTTATCTCCATCCTCCGCCTCTCCTCCTCCTTACCGTCGCCGAGACGAGGGGTAGAGAGGAACCACCCCGCGTGGCCAAAGAACCCGGAAATACCCCCTGGTACTTTAACCTTCTCGATCCCCGCCGCCGCCGTCGCCGTCGTCGTCGTCGGCGGATTGTGCGAACGACTGCCGTCCGACCACCGTTGCTTTCGTGAAATTTTGCATCTCATTCGCAACCCCGCGCGGCGCTTAGTGTCTTCGGGTCGTGAGCGGATTCGGATTCGAACTGATCTCCGCGGGTGAGAGAGTAAACTAGGCTCGGCAAATTTTATTTCGGTAACTCGCGGGGGTGACGGATTTTATCTCGGTATCCTCGGTGGAGGGAAGGAGCGCGCAAATATTTATCGTACAAGAGTCTTGTTTGGATACCGCGCCTCGGCGATCCCTTACGGTCAATTGACACTCGTAATCCCCATTATCTTCGTTCTAAAACGCAGCGCGATGAATTTCAGGATAAAAAAAACTCGCACGCAGGCGCGTACCGCCTGGCTGCCTCTCGTAAAATTCTAGCAATGTATAAGCAATAATGTTAATGACGCTCGCTTCTGGGCTATTTAGATGCCGGCGGTCGTAACGCCGCTACTTATCGGATTTGTACTGTTCCGAGTAACGTATACACGGCCTCGAAGACGCCCGGCCGTTCGCGTTTACGAGCGGAACATCTTTGCGCGTAGGCATTAGCTCGCTTACACACGTGATACCACGATAAAGCTGTCCGAACTCCGCGAAAGCGCCCCTTCGCGGAGCCGCGTTATTGTCTACACGAGCGTTTTTGCGCGCTAAACGCGCGCTTTCGCCTCGTCTACGTCCTGTCGCTTTAACGACGGAAAACCGCCGCAAAATTCAAAATCGTTATCGCGCCGAGCGTTGTGCCACGTAACTTAATACAATCACCGCGCACAATAGAATATTAATAACGCTAAGATAATAACGTGGTGCCTTTCAGGTACAGATGAAGGAGTAGCTTTTACATATCGTATGTACACGGTGTTAAAACGCTCGAGCCAGCGCGCATTGGAACGTGATAATTATAAAATCCCCCGTACGCGTCGGGACGAGCGGAATCATTTATGATAATGATCGCGGCTGCGGAGAGGATAGTAACAAATCGAATACACCGCGCGCGGTCTAGAGACCCTCTAATCGGAGTCTGGACACGCGGTATCCAGCTTCTGATTGGTTCGCCATGTTTAGGATTTTTCCCACTGAATTTCGAATCGACAATTTTAATCCACTTTTATAGCTTTACAAACGACAGGTTGATTTTGATCATTTTGATGCGTATCCCTTCGTCGAGCTGCTATTACAAAATGGTGCTGCAGATCCACCCATTTTTGCAATAAACAGCAAACTCACACTATTATCAAACTTCGTGCGATGTGCGGTTATATTTTAGGTTGCATCTCGATCTGATGGCAGCTTGAAGAGAGAGAGTGAGATTTTAATGACTAAACATGGCGGACAACTCCGTTGGCCAGACTCTGATTAGAGGGTCTCTAGCGCGGTCCGAACGTACAGCGACACTATATTCAACATTGATACGCATTTACAGCGAAGGAGGAGGAGAAGAAATTAATAAGAAAAGGAAGGGGGAAAGGGAGACACACCCTCCCCCGCGTCGCGTACAATCGAACGTAACAATTGCGATACGTCCGCGAGCGCATCGAGTTCTTCGAGTCGTGATAAAGGACGCGCGAGCAAGGTGTAATTAAAAAGTCCAATTCATCATCTCTTCCTCCCCGCGTGTTTCTTGAGGAGCAGGAGGAGGGAGGGGCACTACCCCTCCCCCTGAGAAGGAAATACAAATATAAAAGGGGGGACTCTCCCCCCGTCGACTTACCACACCGCCCCCGGCGCTGTGAAGCAGCAGGCTCTTGCCGGGCGTGAGATGGGCCAGCTCGAAGAGCAGGATGTAAGCTACGGTGTAATTCATGGTGATGGCGGCCGCGTCGAGGTAGCTCATCCCGGACGGTAGCGCGAAAACGGACGTCGCCGGCACGGCGACCAGCTCCGCCCACGCTTTGTGATCGGGAAGGGCGACCACTCTATCGCCTACCTGTTCAAAAAGACAGAAGGGAAGAACCGTCAGGCGCGTGACGAAATACAGAGCGTTTAATGTCGACAGACAGCATGTCGGATCGCTTTCGAAATCGAGGCGCGTGCCGAAGATCGAGATCTGATAGCGAATTCGGTTGCTTGCGCCGATGCACACTGACTGTGCGCACTAAGGCCGAGTATGGCCGGATATGAACAAGTCTAGAACAGCATTCGTAGTCAGATCTTATATTCTAGACTGTCTTGAATGGATCTAAAGATGCAATATGGAACATTTCGTTGGCTATGAAGGATCTAAAGATGATTTTAAGACGAACTTAAATAAGATCTAACTATGAATACTGCTCTAGACTTGTTCGTTATAGTCTTTCGAGTCTTACATTTAAAGTTCAAGTGTTAGTCCAAAAAATGATCCGTACGAATGCTGTACAGATCATTTTACTGGTGTTTCAAGAGATATTTAAGACGATCTTAAATATAAAAACTGTAAACGAGCCTCAGCGCGTACTAGTGCAAGCAATCAAATTCCCTACAAGAGTGGAGCCGCCTGATGTTTCATTTCTACCAATGCAGATTAACTTTAATCTCGGTTTAACTTTCTTTTTATCTTTTCCTAGTTCTAAGGGTCGGAAAACGATGGAAAGTAAATTAAATCGAAATTAAACTACATTGGTAGAGATGGACGTAAGACCAATTCGTCAAAGTACTCCTTTACCTTCTCGTGAGACGATATTTTCAGGATTGTGTCGCGCGTAAGTACACGCGTATTTACCGGACCGTCGCCGGACAAGAAGGGCTCGATCATGGTGTAAAGATACAAGGTGAAGCAATCTGGTGGACGCGCAGTGTCAACTAATCAGAAGTGGCCCGAACTACCGGATTGACCAATTTTGCCCCAACCTTCAAACTGCAAATCATTGAACGCAGGAAGAACCAATGAACAATTTGCCCCCAAAAATTGCTTAAACGCGCAATGTTTCACCTCGTATCTTTACACCGTGGGCTCGACGCTCTGCGCCCTTCTCGAGGACGAGGCTCGCCTCGTTCTTATCGAATTAGGCCTCCCGCTGTAAAGTATCTCGACAGGCAGGGCGAGGCAGGAGCATGCCGACATTACTTCCGACCCGCGCGCTCGAAAGGAGCGCACTCCTCCCCCCCATCCTCTCTACGTCGCTCTCCGCCAAAGCAGCCGGTGCACGTGGCCGGATATCTGACCCTGTAAACGCCTCGAGCAGAGGCTCGCTAGCCTCCTTCTGACCCCGAAAAGACTTTCGCGCGAGTCGCGAAAATAGACCACCCTGAGCGCACGGGTTTCTCCATACGACGGCGCCAGCCGGCGAAAACGCGCCGCGCAGAAATTCCGCGGGCTCGAAGCCAGCTCGATTCTCCCCGTAACGCGCGAATAACGTTTAAGCGCGATAACGGGAGGGCGCGCGCGCCTTGATATTCGACGTTATTTACGAAGCGGCCGTTAATACAGCCTCCTGGCGCTTTATCGCGCCGGAGACGCGGCATACTTGTGCGTTCGTTTTTCGCCTTGACGCAAAGACGTTTAATAAGCGAAACGACCGCGAGGGGAAAGTGGCCTCTCGTTTTATTTACGGCGCTCGTAATCCGGCCGAGGAGGGACGACGCTTCGAGAGCTCTCAAAAATAATTCAATGTTGAATCGAACGCGTGACGTCAATGCCGAAAATCGATACAGGACTGCCGGGTCGATACGCGAATGGCACAGCCTCCCGTCGCGCGAGCGAATCGAATTAGCGCGCGTTACTAGCTGGGCGCTTCGCGGATCGAATTCGCGAAGGCGATTTTACTCCGCCGCGATGAAGGCAAGAGGGCCCGCGTGCCTTGTAATTCGGTTACGCGCACTTCCGGCTGCGAGGCGAAGTTTCCGACGCGAGCACAGATCTATATTTCCGCCCGCGCGCATTTCGATATTACCAATAACCGTTCGGCGCTATTTACGACGCGGCCATTAATCTTCCTCGGAGAGAACGGAGGAAATGAGCGATACAGTCCGCGATCTCGCCCTTTATTTTTACCTCTCGTAATGAAATTCCGGAATGCACGCGGAAAGAAGCGAACTTGTTTACAATTTAAGTTTTGCGCGCCCGTAATCAGATTCATTAAAAGTTCCGTGCTTGTACTCACTTTGAAATTCTCGACCCCCTCGCCGACCTGCTCGATGTCACCCGCGCACTCCGAGCCCATGATGAACGGGGTCTTCGGGGGCGAGTCGATCGCGCCCTGCCTGGCCATCAAATCCTGGAAGTTCAACCCGCTGGAAGAAACGAAAGAAATGTTCTTAAGTATTGAGTGCGACTCGGGTACACAGGCTTATCGGAAAATCGCATTTCAAGCTACGAAACCGGGACGACTCGTTGAACATTCTCGCAACCGAACTAGAATACCAGTAAGCGTCAAAACATTTAATCGGTTTACTGACGATAATGTTCCACCGAAAGAAAACTGTAAGACCGAAAGCAATCGGCGCGCAGGACGGGATGGAAAACGGTATAAAAATTCATGAATTGTAGAAACTCCTGCTCGGACCGTATTGGCTATTTTGATTCTTATCGATTTTAACAAGTTAATAAAATTCATAAGACTCTCATGCGGTAAACACCAAATCGACAGAATAAAGACTAAATTTAACGCAATAAATTTAAAACAAGAGATACTTAGACGCTAACATCGTGTCACGGCTCTTTAGTCTTTATTCTCTCATAGACAGAGTAAATTGAATAAGCTGAAGTTTGTGAAAAGAGAGAGAGAGAGAAGATTTAAGAAGACTTTCTTTTTGTGTCTTATACCATCGAAAAAGAAAAGAATCGTGCCTGCGCAGTACTACACAGGCGTGACTCTCCCCTGTCACGATGGTGAGACAGAGAGAGAAAGTTTTCTCAAATCTTCTCTGTCTCTCACTTCACAAGCTTCAGCTTATTCAATGGGACGCTCAGTCTATATTTACTATGTCTGTGTATTCTCTTTATTCCTTCGAATTGGTCTTATCGATTTATATCCAAAATAGAGGAGAGAACCACACGCCGCAGTGGTCGAATTGGTGTAGACGCCCGCCTACGGTGTAGGGAAGTCCAGGTTCAAACCCTGGCTGAGGTAATATTTTTCGCCAAAAATTTTCTGTATTATTAAACGTGCCAGACACGGTCATGGAAATACTGAAGCCATTCATTGTTGGATCATATAATTGTTGCGAAAGAGGTTTGTGAAACGGGATGTTGGAAACCCGCTGTCTCGTATTAGGAGTCTGTCTCATAACAAGGGACCTCTCTCTTTTTTTCTCTATCTTATTTCGAGCTGCCAGGGTAAATCATCGAAAATCGTAACCAGGACCGGTAATCCGTTCTGGATCTCAGCATCCGTGCGTGTCGTTTGCTACCGTTACCGTGATAGCCGTCGTTAACGTCATTAACGTGACGCGGCGTACGATGGTGTTCTTCGAAAATTACTGTCCCGACGTCGCTGTCGCGGCCGGAGGATTTCGTTCCGCGATTCTCGGTCCCGCGGGATGAACGGCGTGCGCGTTTTCAACGAAACGCGGTTAGTCTCGGGATGACTCGATCGTAAAACCCAACACATTTACCGCTCGGAGTATCGTGCTTCCGCTTGCAAAGGGCTGAAATAGAAACCGCTTGCACGGATAGCAAGGAGAAGCTGCTCGCGTAAAGCGCACGCCTGTGCGGTTACCTTCGCCGGTGCCTAAACGGCCCGGATTGACAGGGAGGGTATGCGAGGCGGAGGCGCCGCGACGCCTAGACCGACGCCTGGCGTCGCACGCAACGCGACCGCGACGCGTCGCGGCGACGTGGCTCGTCGGCATCGGGAAATATTTGCCATCCATTATCGGCGAGTTCCCCTCGTCTTCACCCCGACGAAAAGTTCGACGGCATTTCGGCGGAAATCGACGAAATCGTCAGATAAGCGGCGATTCGCGTGCCGACGTGTCATCCCGCGGTCTCAATTGCAAGAAAATTTGTATCGCTCGGCAAAACGGCAACGGGGAATATTGGTACGCGGAACCAACTCTGAGCCGTACTTTCCCGCAAATTTCGCGAAATGAACGTTGGAAATAAAATGCCTTGTCTTAAATATGCACCCGCAAAAAAAAATTCCGGATCCAATGCTATCACTGGAATGTATCATAAAATAGGATCGATATAGCGCCAATCATATTTATTATAGAGAAAGGAATATGTTAATCTTAAATGAAAACTTCTAAAATCTAGAATAAAATGATAGTATGTATCGTCTTTTGTCGAATATCGTGCTGCCAAGATGGAAGGAAAATTTATTCTAAACGCAAGAGTATATAAACTTACATTGATATAAGTTACTCTTGTCTCAGTGTAGTAAGACAATCTTTTTTAATTCGATAGAGGAGAATAAGAATTATTGATCTTATTTTGATATTGTCTTATTTTTATACTAAATGAGGTTGTGAGAAATATAAATGCGTCAAGAATACTTTTTGTCTCGGTAAAAGAAATTCTTTCTGAGGGTGTGATTCACTGCTAAATTCGTAATGACTCAAGGAGTAACCACCACTGTCCCTACTCAATGTGTTGCTACTTTTAACTGTAATGTGTAGTAAAATTTATTATTTTAACACAAATTGTAGTTAAAAAATCAACTACATCTTTTATTCATTTTATGGATTCTTTTAACTCCGTTGTTTAATTAACGAGAGTTTATTAACGACGATTGAGTGGGAGCAGTCGCGACTACTCATTGAGTTAAATTTAACACTACTTTAACCGAGTAAACCGAACTATAATCCTCCTCAAATATTTAACTCTATGTGTTGTAGACATGCATTTTCTTTTTATAGATAACAACTGAATCAGTTTTGCGTAACGTGTAGCGTAACATGTAACAGTGATGGACAGAATGATTGCGGCATTTTTTTTTAATGAGTTTAGGGACACGCGTTTAGGTTTACGTTTCAAAACATTTTCTCCGAGGAAAAGTTTACTTGAGAAATAGATCGAAATCACGTTTTGTTTTTACTTCAACCGCTTTCTACATCTCAACTATTGTTACTTTATATATTATTACTTTATCAGGACATGAAATTAGTTTGAAACGTCGTAAAATAGACTGTTCGAATCTTGCCAGTCTGGTCGACTACAAGCTCTGCATTTTTATTTAATTTTATTACTGGTGACTATAAGAACACTCAAGCTCGTAGCTCGAAAATACTCGAAATGGTTTCGAAATGGCCGTCGAGTAAAATATTCCTCGGAAAAGAAGATTTTAGGACGTAATCCTGAATCTAAGTGCACGTTCCTAAACTCATTTTAAAAAAAGTGCCAACCATTCTGTCCATTACGTGATTACTCTGCGATGCAGAACTAAAAGTAGATAGAACGAAATAAAACGCGAAGAGAATCTGATTAGGAATACATAACGGAGGGACGTGGACAGAAATGTTACAGATAGATATATACATTGGTTTTTTCTATTCGGTCGTTTCACTTATTCCGAGCGAAGTCACCACTGACGGGTCGATCGGCTCGAGAGCGCGAGTACTTTGGTTTTCGACGGGCTGCACCGGCGGTTGCACGGCGCCTCTCGCGAGATATGTCGCAAATTGTTATCAATTTACACGCGATACACCACATAATTTCCTGGAGCACCGAGCACCGCGCGATGAATCACCGCGCACTCGATGAAATCTCGTCCAAGGTTGGCGAACGTATCAAGAAAGCCCACGCGGCAGCGCTTATCGCTCACGCATTTATCAGTTTTTCTATCTCGCTAAACGCTCCTTCCTCTTTCCATCGCGCGTGCTGTCACGTGACATCATATAGCGAATTGGGTTGCTTGCACACTAAGTGCGCTAGTGCGCACTAAGGCTTGTTTACGGTCAATTCTTATATTTAAGAATCGTCTTAAATATTCTTGAAATATTTTATGGCCAGTAAAATGATCTGTATAGCATTCATACGGACTATGTTTTAGCTAAATACTCTTTGAAAAATATATTTAAGACAAAATTAAATATAAGAATTGACTATAAACTGGTCTTAGTGTGGACTCAGTGCGCAACCAACCGAATTCGCTATAAGTAAAATAAGCAAACGAGAGCAGAAAGGGACGACGACACAAATAACTAGACTGCCACCTTCGAGGTGAAAAGTCAGGCAAGAGAAGGTAGCAATCTAGTAGCATAGAGAAGTCTGTGGGCGACGAGAACCATAGTATAACTAGTAGGTCCACTCCGTCACTTGTGTCATTTTGCGTCGATCCCTTCTGCGCATCCGACATTTTGTTGGTCCAGCCAATTGAAAGAAAAATTGTATCTGTGGTAGTCTGACGAGTACGCACACACTTAGAGGAAAGTCCTCTATTATGAGATGGGTTTCTAATACGAGACAGCAGGTTTTCAACACCCAAATTCAATCACAAATCTTTTTCGCAACGATTACACGATCTAACAACAAATTTTCCACAAAACGATTTCGCGCCAAGGGCAATAAATTCATAGTGGAATCAACCGATGATGTCTATTAATTTAACAGAAACGCCGCTGTCCTATACAGGGTGTCCCAGGAGGTAAGGTCAATATTCTGGGAGGTGACAGCATCGGTCATTTTAAGCAAAAATGTTCATACGAATATATGTCCCATTCCCCACTGTTTCCGAGAGAGAACTATTTGAATGTACAGTTGCAAAATTACTGACAAGAAAGAAATACTACGCACTACTTCTAATATTTATTGTTCAAGTGATACATCTTTTACAGATCATAATAAATTTTTTTAAATGCCACCGTTAACAACAATGCATTTTTCAACTTTTGTGTGAACACGGCGTGTTGCTCGTCTGAGTACATCATGACGTCCCTTTGAACATTTCTACAATGTTATCAGTACAAGAGTCAACAGACGTATAAGAGTAAATTCCCGCGGACGTTTATGAGGTTGGATGAAGGGTTAAGTGTACCTACAGAAAAAAAGTAAATACACGAGACATTCAAGTAGCTGTATCTCGGAAACAGTGGGGAATAGGACATATATTCATACGAACATTTTTGCTTGAAACGACCAATACTATCACCTCCCAGAATATTGACCTTTCCTCCTGGGACACCCTGTAGATGTCGTTGCAGCTGGTGCCCGTGACGCACGAATAGCACGCGTTTCGTGCCGATAACGTAACGAAGGAAGTTCGCGGTCGCCAACGATACGCCGGGAACAGAATTCCGTCGCGGTTCGCGCCTCGTCCCTATCCGAATTTCACGCCCTCGATCAAATCCCC